TAGTACAATTATGCAGTACTGTGAAAAGAAATAAATATATTTCCAGTGTTGATAAATGTTTAAGAGATATGTCGCTTATTAGAGAAGGTATTATATTTAAGGATAGTTCAGATGTTTTGAAGTGAAGTTGTAACAAAAGGTGATACACTGGCAATATTTCATCTGCTGTGAGAATAATAATACGATGCTAGAGCTAAAAGCTAGTCTTGTAGCAGCCTACTTCAGTTTTTTTTTGTTTTTGTTTTTATCATATCATGTTTTTCACACAAAAAATGTCATAAGTGGGAAATTACCTTGATGTGTAAATATTCATGGTTATCTGGAAATACCCAACCAATAGAAATGTAGCTAAAGTAAAGAAGATTTTGGAAATATCTTTCAGATAAACAGAATTGTTTGAGGCAGTCTATTTCAGTCTCATCCCCTCTTGCACTACCCAATAACTTAAGCCACCAGAATGATCTAATTTGAATTTATTCACAAAAGTGTTTGAAAGAAACCTCAAAAGGCCTGAACTATCCCTGTGATATCCTAATTACAGAGGGAAGTGTTTTGTTTATAGTGGTTAACTGGTTTTTACTCAGTCCATGTAATTATCAACATGTGATGCTGACCTGACAATAGTTTTACACCTAAAGTTCTGAGAGAACATAGCATCTGGTGTTTCCATTAGTTTCTGTGAGTTTTGGTGTCTTTAAAGATAATAGAAAACTCACAGTATTTTTAAATGAATGAAATATAAACCCTTTCCTTTTGAAATCATTGAAGCAGCTGTTTAGTGTGTGCTTCATTGGTGTGAATTCTCAGTTCCCACTGTACAGTACCATTTAATGACAATGAGTTTCAATAAAGGGGGTGATTCATTTAAAGCCATAACAATAAATATCTAAGTAATTTGAATGTGCTGTGTTTTACTTCACTTCACTTCATCCACATGGGAGTTCTTTTTTCTTCTTCTAAATACATGCTAAAGAAATATCATACTATGCACATTATTGTGTTGGACAGAAGAATATGCAGTGCTCTTCAAAACATTAAACAATGAATAAATGATGAGCACTTATCAGAGAGAAATGCTGAATAAATGCTAGAACCAATTTTAAAATCGAGCTTTCCTCTCCATGTTAAACTTTGTGAAATCATAAAATTGATTGCAGCTCATTTTGTCTGCTGTATGGTGCCTCCCAGACCTCTTAACACTCCTGACAAAGATTTACAAAGCTCTTATAATAGATGGTTGCTTTGGAAAACGTACTGTTGCAGTTGTGCAGCAGCAAGGTTGAGGAATTATTTCCCTCTACTAACCATCCACCTAAGTGTTTGCGTTGGAAGGATAAACATGTCACAGTTTTGATATTTTGAGCTGTTTGCTATTTCCTAACTTAATACAATTAACACACATCTCTCTCTGACTTCCTGTATTTTCCGCTTTAAAACTTCGACACAGAGAAATTGGCCATGACCTAAGAAAAACAGAAATATATATTTTTATGAGCTTTGCTAGACTTAGAAGGGTATGAAGTAAACTACAAAGATATTAAAGAGTACAGGTATATATATTTGTAAATAAATATAAAAATATAACAAAAACATTTGTTGTATATTTTCAGTTAACCTTTATGACTTTTTTACAAGGGTCACATGGGTCAAATACTCTTTAGTAAAACAATAGTGTCTAAAATTTATATAGACAAAAGGCCGCCTTGGCAGTGTTACGCCAAGTTTGATGGAATAAATGTACTCAAATGCATACATTACTGCAATATTATAGCATTTCAATCATTTTTAGGGTCCTTTACAAAATATATAAATCAGTCTATGGTGCAAACAGGACATGGAGCTTTAACCAAGCCCTGGCTTATTAAAAATACCTACATACTGTACAGTTTACTCTGTGGTTAGAAAATGTTTTAAAGAAAACATGAAGCTAAAGAAATTTTAACCTGAACAATAGCAGATGTAGAGCAAAAGAAACAACACAAAATGAACAACTGTACTTTCCCTGAGCAAAAAAAAAAAAAGCTTTATATAAGTATTTTGAAAGGTAAATTTCTTTCTAATATTATTATTTGCATCATTGTTATTATTGTGGTTATTGTTTACTGTTAAATATAATTTTATATTAAGTAATGAATAGTTTTTTTCAGCTCAATCAGGATAAAACATTTATACCATCAGAGAGAGAAACTCACATCCCAACTTCAAATAGGCGATAAATCCTCCTGAAGAAGTCAGGAACTTAGGCCTCATATTTCATTAAAACTCAAGCTTTGCATGACAAATGTAACAATAAAGGTATTTTGATATCTGACAAACATTGTAACTGTTCATTTTCAATGTCGGTACAGACATTTTTACAACTTGTACAAGATATCACTGTAATTGTGTTGTTCTGAAAATAACTGTTTGCTCTAAAGTTGAAACAATTAATCGGATTAATCGTGATTAATGGATTATTTAAATAATCGTAAAATAATTTTGGAATCGATTAATTGTTAACTGCCTTTAGCTGACCCACTTAGAGCAGTAATTATATTAAAAAAAATTTATTAAATATTTTTAATTAAAGATAATAAAAACATTTTGTCTATCAATATGTTCTAACCAGAACTCATCAAGTCTTTTTGTTAATGTGTCCCTAAGCTTTAGAGCAGACTGGTTTTAGACCTGAGGACTTGGAGGGGTTAGGATGTTTTTAAAATAAGATCCACTATGTAGTCTGGCTTATAGTTAAGATATATTTCAATTTGTTACCTAATTGTTTATCATTTCAGATTAGCTTTAACAGCTTTTGTTTATAGATTAACATTTTTTCTTTTTTCTGGTGTTTTCATGTTAATTATTTTATACATTTTAAAAATATATATATCTGCCTTAACAGTTTTAAAGCACATTATGTTCTACTTAACCATATTCAATTGTGATATCTGGAATGGTTTTATGACTCTAAAGAATGGATCTACTGTATTTGCACAGATACTTATTGCATGAACGAGATTAATAAAAGAATATATATATTTTTGTGTAAACTGCTATGAAATTATGAAGTATAATTTAACTAGATTGAGTATTAAATGAATCAAAAGTTTTTTAAATATGAAATACAGTAGAGAAAAAAAAAATGCATCCATGCATAAAAAGACTATGATTAGGACATACGAGGTTGAAGGAAACGTCACGTCTTGAATAAACATCGCTGTCAGATGTGATTGTGAAATGGATTTGAAATCAATCATAATTATTTGTGAAAAATACAGGCTGAGTAGAGAAAAACAAGGATTAAGGTGGTGTGGTTTGGAAACCTAACAGTGAGCTAAGTATTAGTTAAATATGGAATGATAAATAGAGCGTTTATAATATATTTTAGGGGAAAAAAAAGGGTTTATTTACAAAAATATAAATTATGCTAGTTAAAGATTTTGGATCACACTCCGTTACAATCGGTGGTGAGGCACTTCTTTTGTTGTTTGCCAACAGCCAAAAAAATAAAAAAAAAATAACATAAGAATTAAACCACTCTCATGTCATTTGATAAATTTGAAACGATCATCATGAAAGTGATCCAGTTAAAGTATTGTAAACTTGTTGGGAAAGAGGAGAAAAATAGTTTTGGATGGGTGGGAGATAAAAGAGCAAAAATATTTAAAGTATAGAATTAAGAGTCTAGCTCAAACGTTCTGTGGCCTTTAAGAATAACAGGATCATTGAATCATATCCCTGTGGATAGATCACTGACAGATGAATCAAAGGAGCCTAAAACAGAAGCAACTGGAATAGTAGTAGTGATTCCTAAATTATCAATTAAGATTTCAAATAGAACATTAAGTATATATGGAATAAAATTATAGGCTATCGCTGTGGCTTTAGAGCGGATAGAAGATTGTAGAACTGGGACATTGATTATTTGTAGTGCTTTGTTGCCTGATTTTTCAAGCATTAAGTCACAAAGTACAAATAGCCAACAGAGCACCCTGAATGAAACAAGAATATAGTATTTATACATACATATATATATATCTATATATAGACATATATATATTAGATATTGTTGAAAGTACAAGAAATAGAGGAATGAACAGGAGGGAAGAGGTAGTGATTGGAGGTATAAGAACAGGTCATTTTCTCCTGAATGGCACCCTTTTTAAGATGGATGAACATCTCATTGGGTGGTGTAATGGCTGTAGTAGTATTGAAAGGATAGACCATGGTATTATTTGGTGCATTAAATATGAAATTCAAAGTAAATGTCTAAGATCCTTTTTCTGGGAAGCTGACGTTTAAAGATACTGCGGCACAGTAGAATAATAAAGTAGGGAAAAGAAAGATAAGTGAAGAACAATTGGTCCCTGGAGAATTTAAGGATTATGTAATTAATATAAAATCCACACGATGGCAGTAAGGCAACACGCGATGGATTCACGCTCCCGTTAAAAACCAAAGAAGAAGAATGATAAGTATTCTCATGTCCGATTGGTGGCGGTGTTGCGCTCTTTGTTGTCTCATACAGCGGAGAGGAAGAAGCAGAACCCACGTTGGTTAAATCCTTCCATTCCAGCTCTTTCAGCACAGGCAGACAGTCGGTCATTTCCATCCGCAAAAATGAACGGCGTAAACGACGAGCCAATAGCACCACAAACATTTCTTTACGGTGAGACACTATTTAAAAGCATAACTTTTGTTTGCTTGTTAGGTGTCATTTGCTGTATGAATGAAAAGCAGGTTGTACTAACAATTAGGCCAGTTTTGTAGTTATACGCTCCTCCTGTGGTCTTTCAGATATATTTAGCTTAAAACAGTTAGATGTTTTCATACGTCAAAACCTTCTTTTAGTGAAGTTTTTCGGCAAAGAAGCAAAATCTTGTTTGAATTTTGGGGTACAACCGGGTTTCGGCAGCAGGCTTCCACGCACGTGCTTTTTGTAGTCAACATGGCGGCGCCCATGTTTTTTATAACGTTCTTCAAATTAAAAGTATGTTGAACATAAAACTAAGCAGATGCTTTCTCGTTTAAAACACGGTTTAAACATTTGGTCCATGTTTACGGAGAACCAAAGATTAAGTAACATTTCTCCAGAAAAGAGGTAGAAAGCGACACAACGTGGCTTCCCACGTTCACATCTGGGACCCCAGCCTTCATGCAGACCATAAAAACTACTAGCTAATGTCTTAGGGACAATTAATATTGTTTACTTCTGTTCTGTTTTTGACATGTAAATTATTTTTATTGAAATAAAGAAACAAGCAAGTCTTATATGCCTCTAACCCCCTTTTATATCATGCCTTTAAACTGAAGATCAAAAGTCAATTTTATATAAATATATAGATATATATAGATAATAATTATTCATTTGTTACAAAGTTTTTTTTTGTTTTTTGTATCACCTCACCATTTTATAATCCCTCTTAAAAGTAGTTTTCAGAGATTTGCTTCATGGAACCAGGAGGTGGAGAATAACCAGGATTGTAAAGACATAGTGAAATTATAACCATCAGAAAGTCTTTTAGTTATTTTGATCACTTTCCTTCACGTGGCTCATCAGTAGTTATTACCATGGACCCTAGAGCTCCCTCCTGTGTTAAGCTTTAGCCTAACATTTGAAATTCGAGCTATTTCTTTGTTGGGGAGGGGGTGTTGATCAGGAGCCAGAGGCTGGGGCTGATCTTTGCCTTTTTTTTCTTTTGTTGGCAAAATTTTGACAAGCCTCTTTTATTTTTAATATTTTTTTTTCAGGGTGTGTTCTGCAAGCAGGCAAGGAGGTGGTCTTTAATCCTGAGGATGACGACTTCGAGCACCAACTAGATCTGAGGATGGTGAGTGGCATGAATTACAGAGGTTTGAGCAAAGTTTAAGCTTGCTAATTGGTTTTGCATTGCTTTTTTGTTTTTCCAACCTCAACGTTCATAAAAGAATTAGAAAAGATGCACAGAACTTTGTCTTATCTTAAAATCTTTTTACTAGGAATAAAACCCTTTGGACGTTCAATGATAAGTGTTCCCACAAAACTGGCTTTCATTGGAGGCGGCCAGACTTTCGCTTATTTTTTTTTAACGTTTCCATACCAGGGTTTCCTTGGGTCATTAAAAATCATTAAGTCATTAAATAATTGTTTGGTTGTTTTTTTTTTTTTTAAATTAAGGCCTGGATTGTCATTAAAAATCATTAAATGGGATTATTTTGGCATTTAAAAATAATTGACATTTGCATATATATCGCAATATAGTTGAGGGTACTGCTTCCGGCTGATCGTCAAGTCGTTTGTTCGGAAAAGAAGCTCAAGTCGGAGAAAAGGCTGTAGAGTGGGGGGAAAATGCTAATTTCAACAAAGGTGGCTGGAAATCGAGGAATTGCAGCCTGCCGACAGTAAAGATGAAGGAATTTGCTGTGTATATATGAGAGTCATGGGTACTTGTTGCATAAAAATTATTTTTAAGATAATTAAAAAGCATTAAATTAGATTTGCTAATTTCTGTATAAACCCTGCAAACATGTCCCTGCAGTTTTTGACAATTTACTTAAATCACATTGAAAGATTCCTGGATAGGTCTGGTTGGCTCTGATTATAGCCTGCTTTGTGGCTGCCATGACCTGGGTGATAGAAAATTTTTATAGTGTTAATTGTGAGGGTGATGGTACTTAAATGTAAACCCAAAGCCCAGAATTAAGACTCTCCTTGACCTAAACTTTGTGAAATACAGGTGTTTATTGCAGATGTAAATCAACAACATGCACCTCGCATAAATATTAAACTGTTGGTCTGTAGCTTCAGTGCAGGTTTAAATGCTGGTTTAGGGAATTAGAAAGTTGTACCAGTTCATAGAAGAGTAATCGCGTAGCTCTAATTTAATTAATTCTTGTAGACAAAACTTGCACAGCGTGCAATCCCTCTGCAGCAATAGCTCAGCTGTAACCAGATATGCATTATTTAGCTGGCAGCATCCAGACGGTGGAATCTATTGATTGTTGCAAGGTCACAGGATGAATGTCGTTGGCTGGAAAAGGTAGCACTAAGACTATTTTTTTTTTTTGTTTTTTTTTTGGTCAGTCAATTTTTTGACTTGTTGATGTGCAAGTTATTTAATTTTTTCATTGCAGGGACACAAGTTTGAAATCTTCATATGATAAAACAGATTTATTGACAAAGACTGACATTGGGATTAATTAAATCTTTAACTTGATGTTTTAGATATACTTATCTACACAATTAAATAAGAAAAATTTGGGTCTTGTATGTTGGAAATGTGATGCTAGTCCTGCTCTTCTAAATAAATCAATGCATTTTCAGCTGGTTACTGCAGAACTGTTGAGAATGGAATGAAACTCTAAAGCAGACAGCCCTCCAGTTCATTGGGGCAGATGAACACTGCTGGTCTAAAAGTTTTATTCAGCACCTGATGTGCTGCCTATTAACAATCTAAGAGCACATCTTCTGTTTGTGTGCCTTAGATGCATAACTGTTTCTGTGGTTTAGAGCCAAAGATTTCTAAGTGTCCAAACAGGACTGATCCATGAAGATTTATTAACCAGAATTATCTCGATACCACCTTTAAAGCTTGTAAAATATATTCCACTGTTATTTATAAACTATTGCTCAATGTATTTTTGACAAATTAGTATAGTTGGTCATTAATTATACCTTTATGTTGTAAAAAAAAAATGTGTTATGTTTCAGAGTTTGAATGAGTGTTAGGCTGAAAGAAACTATTGTCAGATGGTGAGATAAAATGCTGACAACTTTACAGGAGGCTTACCTTAAGCTGTATTGTTCTTGGAAAAAAGTCTCTAACAGGTTGCTGGTAAATCGTTGGTTGATCTTTGCAGACCCGAGCCAAAAGTCAAATCAAATTAAAGTCTCCATCTTTGTAATCTTCATAAACTCACTTTTCCTCTTACCCCTGCAGGCATGTGTTGACCCAAGCACAAAAGATGAGCTTCAGGTGGTGGAGGTAGAAGGACAGAATTCAGAGGAAGAGCAAGTTAAAGCAACACTAGCTTCACTTAAGCCATCTACCCTGCCGAGTGTAAGTAGACATATTCTTTTTGTTGGATACATTTTTCCTGTAGTTGTTGACTGAATTGGTGGTGTTCAACAGGTGTGCCTTGGTGGGTTCACAATCACACCCCCAGCAGTGTTTCGTCTCAAGGCGGGTTCAGGTCCCGTCCACATCAGTGGACAGCACCTTATCAGTGAGTATTTGTCACATCTGTTCGTTAAAGTAAACGTTACTTGGTCCAGAATGAAATACTTGGTGTAGTATTTAGGAGTTGAAATTGGCTCATGGTTATTTACTGAATATTTTCCAAAAGTGATGGGGGGTGATGAGAGTTTTGGTGAAGACAGTGAAGAAGAAGAGGAGGAGGAGGAGGTAGAGGAAGATGTTAAAGTCTCAAAGAAAAGACCCGCCACATCCCCTGCTACAAAGTCCCAGGTAGGTTTAATTTAATAAATGTCCTTAAATGTCTGTTTGAAAACTGCGTTTTAATTGACAAAAACACATCTGATCTCCTTTACAGAAGAAAAGGAAAATGGAGGAGGAAGAGGAGGATGATGACGAGGAGGATGAGGCTGAAGAGTGAGTATCAAAACTGTTCAGTAATGCCTGACTTTACAAAATCTCCTTTGAGTGGTTTGATCATTTCAGGTGAACTCAGGAATAATTAAGTGCGTTATTTTTGATTAGTCAAGGTCTGGAATATAAGTGTTTTACCATAGCAAGAGGTAAAGACTACCAAGATCGAGATTTACTGTTTGTCCATATTATGTTGCAAGCATATGAATTTTTTATTTCAATATTCCTTTCAGTCAGATGTTTTTTTTTTTTTTGTCTTATTTAATTTTGTCCAAAACCACTTTAGTTGTTAATCATTGTCTGAAACTCAATTTGTTTTTTTTTTTCCCTTAAGGGATGATGAAGATGATGCAGAAGAGGAGAGTGAAGCTGAAGAGACTCCTGTTAAGGCAAGCGGAGGTTCAGAAGTTGTGTATGTGTGGTGGAGGGGTTAATTGTGCTCATTCTAATAGAAGTCCGTTTCTCACAGGCTAAGCCAACCCCAACCAAACAAAAAGGCAAGGCTCAGAACGGCAAGAACTCTGCACCGAGCACACCTGCCTCCAAGCAGGTTAGATGACTCACAAATTATTAAGGGAGTCAACAAGAGCATTGAGCATCAATTTTCCAAGGTTATGGCTAACGTTTGTTTTGTTTTACTGGAGCAGACCCCAAAAGGAAAAGGTGAGAAGACTCCTAAGACTCCAGGAACACCCAAAGTGAATCTGACCATCCCAGAGATTAAAGCCAAAATAATGGAGGCCATGAAGAAGGTTGGTGTTTAAAAAAAAAAAAGATACTTATTTAAGATTGATTAGAGGAGATGACCAGAGATGTCCCTTTGCTGATTGATGCCTTTGGTCTTTTGCCTTTTTTAGGGAGTCTCACTACCTAAAGCCCAACCCAAGTTTGAGAACTTTGTGAAGAATTGCCACAAAGTGACAGACCCCAAGGTAAAACTTATTAACTGAAACCGTTTTTCTATGAAATGCAAATTATTTAAAGATTTGTTTTACACATAAGAGCCTTTCAAAGCATGAGACACCATGGCGGTGAAGATTCTAACATTCAGGTCATAGTCATTCCAAAAAGGTTAAAAAACAAACCAATGGACTTTGTTTTCCAAGCTTGAAAATCTGCTTCCCATCCAGGAAGCTTCTTATATTCCAAAATATCTGGAGTAGCGTTGAGTTCCAGGCTTTATAGAGTAGCCTTTCCCTGGATGGGAAGCGAAACGTCTTCAAACTTGGGGAAAACAAAGTCCAGTGTTTTTTACTTTTTTTGGCATGATAGAACAGTTTTACACTTTATGCTATTTGTTGTTTGGGCCACATGGGGACGCTGTTGCCACATTATTTTATTGATCACATTTAGTCCACAGAGCTCTTGTACAAAGTTTACCCTGGGGTTGTTTCGTGGGTGTGGCTTTTCATGGTGACTTAATTTTGTTTTTCTCTCTAGGTTGTTGCTGAGCTGTGGAAGTGGCGACAGACGGTGAAGGAGGAAAAGTAATTGGCTCTGTAGTTTTAACAATTTTATGAATTATTTTTTCCCCATACCCTCTCTCATGATCTGTACGTCCAAGTCTTTGCCACAGTTTTCCATGAAGTCACCCTGCCTTCCTGAATGTAGAGATTATGGTGGCGATGAGCTGCTGGTGCGTTGTATCACTTCTCCTTTACATGAATAAACCTGTTTGTTAAATAATCCGGAGTCTTTTCAGAAATTATTGTGGATGAAAATTGCTGCATTGAAAGGACATTTTTATGCATTTTTTGTTTGTAGTTAAGATTTATTTGATCTAAATTAGAAGCTGTAAAAAGCACATTACATCAGACTAGATTGACAGTTTGTCGGCTGCAATGTTGTTAAAATATAAGTTCCATCAGCTCATGATCACAATATGCCAGATTTTTTTTTTTTTTTTCTTCATACCATGATGTCCAAGTTGTTCGTTTTACCGTCCAATTAACCCTCCCCCCCCTTTTTTTTTTCTTTTTTTAAACAAGTTGAATACAATAAAGTGTCCGCTGCATTTCAGCTCAGAGATCCCCGGTCTGCTCTAAAACCGACAGCTCGTAGGCCAAAGGTTGTGTCACTTTAGGTGTTTCATGCCTTAGGGAGTCTGCAAATTGCGTAATCTTTCTTAGAAATTCCCATATGTACTCAAGTTTCAAAGGTGCAAATTTGCCTAGTTACACTGAGATTAGGAAAGAATGGGATGACTGGTAAATGAGACCATTCCATGCAGTCAAACGGGTATCTGTTTATGGTTATAACCTTTTGCTCTGGATTTGAATGTCTCAGAACTGTTTAAAACCGTAAGGTGTGGCTCTGTTTTCCATTTCTGTTGGGTTGACTGATTTACCCTGGTTAATGGATGTTTGCATTGTTGTAAAGGTTTTTTTTTTTCTTTTTCTGAAACAACTTGCTATTAAAAGGAAAAAAGGATTCTTTGTCTCTTGAGTTACTTTTAAGGTGTGCTTACTGTTAGACATTATTTGCAGTATACCTCTTATGCCAACCTCTGCACTATTAATCCTATCATGCTGTGATTATGAAGACTTTCCCATACCTGCTTTATGTTGGCTGCTGCATGCATTTTCCATAACAGGCCTCATGTAATCCCCTCTAATCTGTTTTTACTATGGTCGGTACTTTCATTATAGCTGTTGTTGATCTATGCAAGTCCTCAGTCATCCTATTAATGTCAACCACAAAAGGGTTAAATTAAAAGGAGACCAGACTTTGGCTAATTTCTTTTCTAAAGACGTCTCAACGCCTCGGCCTGTGCCGACTCCTATCAAAGATTTTGAAATAGGTACCGAAAGACCTGTTGCATCCAATTTAAGTCTGCTTTGTGATAGACCTTATGTTCTTGCAGCTACATTTGACAAACTTAAAGCATGTAGACTGTGAATATACTTCATCCTGTTAGCATTTCTTTTTTTTTTTTTTTTTAAAGCCCAACTGAAAAATCTCAAATTAACCTTCATGAAGAAGTGGTAGCTTTGAACACACATGTATCCCTTGTATTATGATGGTTGTAGTTTTATGAACACTACCAGTTAGGTTTCAGTACAAACTCTTACACAGGAGAGCATTACAACTTTAATGCCTTTGACACCGAACACAGGAAAGTCATAAAAAAAGTTAAGTCATAAGTTTTTCAGAGTGCATAATTAACAGGTTTAAGATCAGGCCTAAAGAACCTTTGAGGCAAAGGCCATAATGATCGCTTATGGGAAATAAGTTGCAGACTGGCTGCTTTTAGTTGTCGATCAAGAACACACTCCTGGGTTATATCTGGGAAGCCTTTCCCAGTTGACACCTTTGCACCTGTGACTTAAATATGGTGACCATTTGCTGTGACCATCTCTGGTGGTTTTATGTACAAAGGAAACATCCTAACGTTTTAAAGTACAAAATTCTATGAACAATTGATGTCTTCAGAAATCACTGAGTACGTTTACTTCCATCCTTATACCAGTATAAAGGGCACCAGGGGCAATTCCAGTTGCGAGTGTGGCATACATCAACTTAAAGATGTCTTTTGGTTCAACTCACCTCATCACATAATCGGATCATTGAAAACTGCATACTTGGTTCAGCTGTTTGATTTAGGTGTGTTGGACCACGAATGAATAAAAAAGTTGAAGGATCTGGACCTACAGGAACGAATTGCCCACCCGTCCTCTAGACCCAACACATGGAACAGGTGTTTCGACTTATATTTTAGGTTCAGAGTATAGTCTTAATACAACTGCTATTAAAATAAGCACTTTTGCACTTTCACTACCTCCTTATACTGAGCCTCATTAGTAATGCAGAATAATTTCCATGTTTTGTTTTGTTTTTTGGCTTAAATCAACCATTATTTAATGTCAACATGTTTTATGTTTTAATGTATAACCCAAGCTTAATATAAAAAGATGTAGCTGAATTCCAACGACTGTTTCTATGGAGTCCTGAAAGATTAACACCTGTCAGAAAATACAGTTTAACAAACTAAAGTGTGATTTCAGACAGATGTTGAATGCAGTGAAGTAGTCGCCAGTATTTGATCCTGATTCACCATTTCCAGTTTCAGCTGGAAGTTATAGAGTATTCTGCATCTCTTGTTTTATACATACTGCTCAGAAACAGGAAACACTCAACACATCCTTCACATGAATAAATAACATGTTCTCATTGAATTCTTTATGTGCAAAGTTGAAGGTTCTGACAAATCACACAAAAACATGAATGAAAATCTAATGTATTAACCAATCGAAGCCTGGATTTGGAGTCACACAGAAATGAAATTGGAAAAGGTCCCTACAGACTGATTGAACTTCAATGTAATATCCTTAACCCTTTATCGCCATTTACATCACATTTGCTACGTAAGTTTTGGTGACCTTATTTTCAACTTCATCAGTATTTACCCTAAGATCCTGTTCCATACAACTTGAGACATGTATTCTGCCCTCTGGTTGATTACTATTGCAAGCAGTGAAACACCCTTTTTTTCTCTTTTCAAATGTCTACTGATCCCATGAGATCAGTCACGTTTTTTGCAGGAAAGTTTTTACACTTTTTAAGGAAGTTAGAGTAAAATTTACTTTTATATTTTTATTAATATTTGTAAATGCATACTTTATAATTTTAGACAATGCACATTTACCTGGAAATCAATTCTTTCATTAATTCTTACTGTTGAATTGTATTAAAATATGTGCATCATATTTGATACTGCAGGTCAAAAAGGTGATATATTATTGAACATTTAACATTTTTGGAAAGTAATTTATCTCATGCATCCCAAAGTTCAAATACCTACTATTTTGTTTAATCCATATGTAATATTTAATGTAATTTCACCATGCCTTTTGAGATCTTACAAACACAATCTAAAAACCATAATCTTTATGGTATATTGACCTGTTATTTATATGTATTTTTAGATACATGTAGATAACTCCCATCTGTGGACGTCGGGCCCTCATACCATCCTCATGGAGTCGACTTCTAACAGTTTGTGCAGACGCATACACATTTGTGGCCTTCTAGAGGTAATTTTGCAGGGCTCTGGCAGTGCTCCTCCCGTTCCTCCTTGCACAAAGGCGGAGTTAGCAATTAACTCCTTCTGCTAGCAGATAGCAGTAGGAGTTAACAGTGCATTGTTGTCCTCCTATGACCTCCTGATGTACTGTCCGTTCTCCTGGTAGCACCTCCAGCTTCTAAACACTAATCTGACAGACATAGCAAACCTTCTTGCCACAGCTCTCATTGATGTGCCATCCTGGATGAGCTGGACTACCTGAGCCACTTGTGTGGGTTGTAGAGTCCGTCTCATGCTATCACGAGTGTGAAAGCACCACCAGCATTTAAGTAATCAAAACATCACCCATAAGGCATAAGTCCTGAGAAGTTAAATGTCGTCCCCACCTACAGAACCACTCATGTGTTTCTTGCTTATTGCCAATAATTTGCTTTAGCAGAAATAGATAAACTGAAGTTACTTGTTCCCTTTATTTATTTCAGCAGTGTATGTATATTTTTTTTTATTATAGCTAAAACTAATTTGATTGAACAAGTCAGCTGTTTTTACAGCGTAGCTTTTGTTAAATGATTGTATTTAGTATTACATGGTAAACAGATAAAGCTACAGTTATATTGCTCTGTGTTGTAACATCCGAGTATCAGTGAGGCCAAATTACCTAAAGAGACAGATGAAAAATATCAAGCTAATCTAAAACAATAACATGAGTTATATTAGTTTTGGCCACTTTTCATAAGACTATTAAAACTTGTCTGCTAAAAGGGTTGAACTACGGTCCTGTATGTCAAACTTGCTGATATAGGGTGTAAAAGCTGTTTTTCTGACCCTTGGTCATGTTTTTTTTTTTTATAGTTTTTTGTACAACCATCTGACCAATGAAAATACAGTAAGATGTTTTATGGAAATGCAGTTAGTCATTACAAAGACTGCTGAAAGATCTACTTAATTCAGGTTTAACAAGGTCTTTATGAGGAAGTGCTCTTGATAATTTCAGTCACTAAAAGCTGATACTGCCTTGCGATGAGAAAGATAAACATGTGCTCCAATGATTCAGAAAATTTCCCCATAATATAATCCAAGAGCTGTTGCAATATAGTTTCCCTTCAGGAGCACTCAACTACTGGAAATGGATAATATAGGCCATGGTGTGACTGTCTTACTCTGCTGATTGGAGGAAACTACAGACAAGGCAGAAATTGATGCATAAGCCCATTTCTGAAAAGAGACTAAATTACAGCACAGGAGTAAATCAATTATTAAAGATGTTCACTACATCATAGATTGGATATTGAACTTTCAAAAAGTGGAGCACTGTGGTCAAAGGGTTTCACCAATTTTAATGTTACGGCCAGTAATAGAGACTAATCACTACTCTGATAGCTAGAACAAGGACAGATTGTACAAACTAGAGCAAGGAAATGCATGAACCAGAGAAACACTCTTTAGATGGACTCATGACCTGAAACAGTACTGGGTGTGAATCTAATGTCCCGTTACCTTCTAGGAATATGCCCTTGATAATTCTTAGAAAGCATTACAGCTACACTGTAGATTTACTGTCATAAACTGGGCTAAATATTTATGGGTTTTATACAGTGTACTATTTATGCAGATCACAAGATGGTGCTATAAGCAAACAAATTTACAGACAAAACTGCTGGATGGACATAAAGGGAGACTTCCTGCCAAAGGAGAAAATCTCATTGGAGCCCATTTAAAGCTATGGTGTTAAGGGAACACTCATTACATTATAGTCCTACCTTTTATGGGTTTTAAAAGTGACGACTTCTAAAAAGAAACATTTGTCATGCAATTCCCATCTAGTGGATCAGATGGAAAAATATTACGCAAGTTGAGATATTTCAAGTTTTTTACTTTATTTACAACATAAAAACTTTAAAAAGATTACCAAAAAAAAGAAAAAGTACAAGCCATCCACTCAAGAAGACTGAACCATGAGCACAAAAGTTTCCATGTTTCACAACAAATTGGCAATACAGGTACAATGAGTCTGATGTGTTTTATTAAAATCTCAACTAATGCATATAAAACGATCAAGTATTACTGATCTAAAAAAAAAAAGAAAAAAAAAAAAAGGAACACCTTACTGAAGAATAGCTGTTGCCCAACAGTCTATTCAAATGTACTGCATATTAAAAGTACTGCCTTTAATAAGCCTCTCCATAACTTAATGCTTTAAATCTGTCAACATATACACAAGGTACACGTAAAGCACAGACTGCAGTTTTAAACAGGGCAAGACCAGTATACTCTGAAGTGAACAGCCGGCTTATAAAAAAAGACAAACCTTCAGGGTTTGATCAAATATAGTAACAATAAGGTAGTCCTGCAGAAACTAAAAGGCAATATAATAAAAAGCTGTTAAT